CTGTCCTCTTCCCACCTCAGAGGCTTTTCATGTTCTGTTCCCTCTGCCTGACTGGTTCCTAACCACATTAATTTTCATTTATATCCATTAGCTTTTTAGAATCTCAAGAGCAGATTTATATTCCAAAAGAGTACATGTGCACTCACCTTCATAACACTGAGACTTTAAATATTAGAGTAGTTGATACTGTCATTCTCAGTGGAAGTATTTGCATAACACAATGATTTTGGCTGTTCTACTCACTGTTAGTTACATCACTCTTGCCTAACACCAGGCTTTATCTGGCAGATAATAAATAGAGTGAGGATGTAGAAATAAAGGATAAAGTAGTCCAAAGAGAAATTGAGAAGTACTTGAAAAAAAATGGTGCTTTTGTAGAAGAATAGATTTGGGTTTTCCATTTAGACTTTTAAACTGGTAAGGTATTTAATGATCATTCTAAGTGTTCATGCCAGAGTGTTCTAACACAGACCCAAAGGCTGGATATACCTTGCAAGGCTGAGCTTTAATATTAAATCATAAGGAGTTAGAGGAAAGAGGAGCCACAATATCAGCAGAAAGATGCAGATCCACATCCATTTTCCTAGGGGAAGAGATGTCAGTGGGAAAGCAGAAAGAGAGACTGAGACCACATTTCCTCTTCCTCTTCTTATAAGACACATCATGTAATTGAATGATGTGAACACTGATTTAACAAAGCATCCAGACTGAGTTCATGCAGGTCACAGAGATTCTCTCAAATCCATGACTTTGTGGCTGACCATGCCATGTTGCCTGAGGCAGTGCCTTCAACAGGGAAATGCAGGCACACAGCTTCTGTCAGGGGCATGAATATTATGATGAGCCTGGTTCCTGGAATTTTGGAGAATTATAGTCACAGAGGCACTTCCACAGATCACAAGAATATCAAACATATGCATCTTACATTAGTTCACACACTTACCTTTGTTCTTAAAGACACGTTCTATGAAAGGAGTTATGGGGCGGTTCGCAAAGTTTTGGCCCTGGTGCACAAAGGCTTCTTTGATTAAGGGCAATCCAGTTATAACAACGGAGGACCAGTCACCAACTTCCAGCATAAGAACATTCTCATATTTCTTCACAAATTGGAAAATAGCAAAACAGTCATAGTTGAATACGCACATCTGTGTGTTGAGAAATGAAGGGGGTGTGTGTATAGCTTGCATGGAGGGGAGTCTGTGTGTGCATGTGTGTGTGTGTGCACCATGGACAGACAGGAATGTTTCTAACTTTTTTCACTTCTCCTTCTCTAAACTAGATTTGGATTCAGTTTACTACAGGACATAAACTTTCCTTATAATCATTCATTTATATGTTCAGCCTACTTAAACTGAGCGAGCCCTGCCATGTGTCCAAAGAACTTA